CCAGGCCTCTCACAGTTGTTGCCCTTGCCTCTTGCTGAAGTGATTGGAGCTGTCTTAACCAGAGGAAAGTCAGTGGCAACATGTCCGCTATGTATGAAACCATCTGTGAAAGTGACCCCAGCCTCCTTATCTGTGGGCTCACAGGTCATCTGGCCACTGAGTGGAAGTGGACCTGTATTAAACTCTGTGAAATGTGCTCAGGCAAAAAGATAATTTAGCCTCTTGGCTCCACCCCGGCCCCTCCATCCCCCTTTCTTTTTTTTAAAAAAGATCAATGAAAGGACTAAGCCGCCACAACAGCCCTGGTCACTCCCTGTGGATGACTGGAACAGCCACCTACCGAAGGCAGCGTGATGGTGGAGGATGGGCCGGCGAGTGGCTCAGCTGTTGCTATAACAACAGCACCTTGGTCTCATTTCTTTTGAAAAATGAATTGCTGCTGGTGGGATGAAGCCGAGCAGCTTCTGCCTGCAGATGAAAGCCCTGCCGACAGCCTCAATGCTCTCCTGTTTATGTGTTGGGTCTGTCGTGGCGTGTCCGAGCTGTTCTGTCAAAAATTTCAGGACGGTTTGGATTAGACCATTTAGGTCCGCGTGTGTCTGTGTGTTTGCATGAATAGCCTCTGTCCCCGCCCTCCACCTTTCCCCCAGTCAAGATTCATTTCAAAAGTCAACCTGCCGAAGTTTGACCTTTACTTGCTCTGCAACTAGAGTTTCTCCAAAGGCATATAAAGAATAGCAAGTCCTGCTTCTCTCTTCTGCTTTGGAGTAGAAACCTGCTGTGAAATGTAGGTCTGTCGGCCAAGTATTTCGTGTGAATAAAGCTAAAGGCCTATGAAACTGACAAGGGTTTTATTTTATTTTAATATTTTTGGTTTATTTTAGTATTTTCCTTTTATTTATATTTTATGCACCAAGAATCTTCTCCTCCTAGATATAAATCTCTAAGCTGCTGCTAATATCTTCATGATGCATACTGTAAATCACATGCACAAGCTCTATACTACTTCTGAGAAGGAGAGGGAAGACACTTTGCAGGAGAATATTTTACTTCAAACATTGTTTTTACAGAGGGAAGGGGAAATGCTGTGATTTTAGTCTAAGACACTGTGGAGTCCTGGTGGTGGTAAACTGTTTGCCAGTATATGAGTGTATGATATTCAAGTCATCCAACAGTTGACGTGGTGATTGGGAAAGAAATCGAGATATGAAAACTAATGTTTGCACTGAAATAATTTTATAAGAATATTTCTGTGTTGTACCCCAAAAAGAAGAGATGTATCTATTGTTATGGCTCCCAACCCTTCCAGAGTGCCTGAACCAAGGTATTTCCCCAACTGCAAAGGTTGCAATCCAGCATGATGCTTTCAAATAAACTTTTCATGCTGTATTTCTGTCTACCTGCAGTAGTTCAGTGATCAAACAAAGAAAATAAAGAGATTAGGTTTTTTCCTAGTGCCTGTTAACTCCACAAATCCTAAAACCTCTGAAGGAGAATAATGTGGGGCTACAAACTTAGTATAGGCTTCATTTTGTTTTCATTTGCAACAAGGCATGATTTATGTATGTTTGATATTTGATGGAATATAGTTTCCATGTTCAAGCTGGGGGTTTTTTGTAATGCATGATAAACACAACTATTAATATTTATATACTAGGCCTGCTTTTACTTTCAATAAAGTCACTATGTAGTTGTACAGGAGGACATCTAAGTTTCGGCACATGATGAAATTATCAGGAACTGGTATTTTTAGGGATAGTTATTTGCCACTAGATAGTTTTGATTCCTTTGGTAAACATTCATGTACAAATAAGATGATGGATTCAGGAAAAATTAGTAAACTATGTGAAAGTGTATCACTCATATGGATATTCTATACGGGACACCTTCAAACTGTTGTGAAATGTATGGAGCCAGTTCTCTTGTATTTCACAGGAGATAACTGCGCTCACTAATCCCTGACTTTGTCATTAAGACAAATTATTTTCCTATCTCTTCCCTATATGAACTTTTCTTCACAACTAGAAGACACTCACCAGGTCATTTGGTATGTCTGTTCTTTCTTTAGCCCAGCATTTGGCTGACATGAACTTGAGGCAAAGGGCCATCACAAGTTTTGGACATTTCTTCGAATCCTGTTTTTGCCTGTGCATGCCCATTGAACTTGGTCTTGACATACTTGCCATTCGGTGACTGTTTTTCTGATGTGGAAGGCAAAGAGGGATAGTGACTTTGTAGTGAGATGGCTTAGGAGCCGAAATGGGTTATTTCAGCTGTAAAATGTGTGAGTGGCCCATTAGGGACAACATTTAAATATGCTGTTTTAAGCTGTTACATCAACTGTGTTACTGACCACCTGCACTTGAGGCCAGATTGTGCTTTTTCTTTTCTTGTTCTGAAGAAAGGAAACTTGGAAGCGTCTGTGCTGATGTACTTGTGAAGCGGTGCCATTACCACATCCGTATTGTCCTTTCTTCATCTCCAGGGTCTGAACCAGAGTTATATAAAGATCAGTGAAACAAGCTCAGTGGCTCGGCTGTAGTCTTCTGCCACATGCCAGTTACATCGGTCAAAAAGCAGCAGGGAGCTGTAATGCCATACGGTGGTATTCAGCTTAACGTAGGTTTTTAGGGGAGGCAAGCAGCAGAGGTGAGAACCGTATCGTAAGCCTCCTTGTGGGATCTGATTTTTCTCCTTCACACTAGTCCTGGGTGTTGACTTACCTTCCACATCACTGTTAACTGGCACAGATTGAGGCAATTACCACCCCTGGGCAAGCACCTCTTGCTAGAGCTCACAGCTGCCGTGGCTGGGAGAGATGAAAAGGTGATGCCTCTGCTGTGGGGCTCCGTGCTCTGCAGCCTGGTGTGCTCCTGCAGATCATGGCTGATTAACCCAACCGTGCTGGGCTTTAATCGAGAGCCCGCCAGCGTGGTGTGTGCTCCTGCCTGCATCTGCTGCCACGTGCAAGACCCCGTCACCAGGCATCTGCGGAGCTCATGGGGGCAAGATCCGCTGCGGTTGGGCGAGGGGAGAGGAGTGGCAGCCCAGTGATGGGGGGCTCCACGCATGCAGCGGGGAGGCCCAAAACACGCTCACAGTCATCCTGGTCCCCGCCTCGCCACGGGTGGGTTCCCCATCGCAGCCTGCGGCACAGGGAGAGGAACTTCTCATTGCAAAAACACTGGCCTTGCTCTTCCCTGACCTCCAGAAACCAGGGGTGGGGAAAGTCTCTGGGTGAGGACAGCTCCTGTGGAGCCGCACAGGCATCTTGCACTGGAGGAGGAGCCTGGCTGAGCAGCGGTCTGCGTGGCAGAGGCTGTGGTCACAGAGCAGCCGGTCTCTGTGCAGCATCACAGAAGCCAAGAAGGAATTTCCGCCTGTGGGAGGCTTGGCACGCACTGGCTTTGTGCGGGGGGAGCAGGCATCAAAGTCTTGGGCGCGTATGACAAGCAGGGACCCACTGGTGACTCTTAGCCACGTGTTAATCATTTTCCCACATAAACAAAGCTCTTCTGCTCCAGTGCATATCAAAGTGTTGATGGCCTGCTTAAGGGTTCGTGGACTTGCCTTTCTGCTTTATTGTAAAGGTCACATCTCTGCAGAGGACCAGCACATAGCTTAGTGTCCCACGCGTGTTCAGCTGGGACTGCAGCAACGCGTGCATCGGCCATGTCCTTCTGCGTTGCGTGCTGAAGAGGCCATGCAGGCCTGAAGGGTGAGGGAAGGGCACAGCCTTCTCTGAACCGCTCCCTCTAAAACGGGGATGAGATATGGATTTGCTTGCCTATCTTACACATGGGATGAAAGGGGAACTAGCCCTCTGGGATGGGAGAAATAAATGGGATCTGGATTGTGGGAAGAAAGAAGGTTGAGGACCTCGAGGTTAGGGAAGGGGTGGGAGCTGCGTGTCTGGGACTTTCATACCAGTAAAAATACTTTTAAAAATGATAAAATCTTTCAGTATTTTGTATTCTATTGTTCTAGTATCAAGGATGCAAGTGTGTCCTGAAGGCGTTTGCTAGAGCTGTGACCTCTTTGCTTCCTCCCCTCCCCACTATTGTTTTTTGCCTTAGCCAAAGAGGGATGCTTTTTTTAGCCTGGTACATAAGTGGAGGACTTAACATTTGGTGTGATAGGAGGGGACTGTAGGTTGTTACAGTGCTTTGCTATGCTTCTTTTAACCTGAATTAAAGCTTATATTAATACACTGTTTTTTTTTTTTTATAACATTCTTATATTCTAATTTAATTGCTTTCCTGGAGACTTGTGTTGCTATCATTTCTGTCAGTTATTTATCTTTTAAGTTAGCTCCTAGCATACAGATTACTTTCCTTTTTCTCGTTATTTGATTAACATCATGCAAAGTGCCTTCTATTTTTTAGGGGGAATATATTTTTTTTCCTCACTAAAACTGATTCTCAATATGTTTTGTAGCCAAGAACAGAGGGCTAATCAAATGAAATTGTGTTGATGAATTTTCTCAAAAAAATGTAGTGTCAACAACACATGTTTAATTTCAAGTAGTCAATCAATTGTATTGCAGGTATTTTTCAAGAGGCTTCTAGAAACTTCCAACAAAAAGATTTTCAGAGTATAGTCAATCTTAGTGATTCCATTTTTTTGGTCCGATTTAAGACTCTTCACTGTATTAGACTCTGTTTAAATGTCATCACTGTGTTAGGCACCAAAATGTTGAATTAGTCAACTGCCTCCATAAAATTCTGGTAGGTTGGAGAGCACAGACATTTTACAGTTCTGTTCTGTTCAGGGACAGGCTTGGTTTGGGGTTTGTTTTGGTGATTTTTTTTATTTTTTCTTTTAGACCATCTTGTCAAATTGATCAAGGCATAAGAATGAAATCAAAGAAACTTCCTAATCAGAGTTTTTAAACTATTTTCACTAGCAGGCTTGATAAAGGAGTATCTGTCACAAGGCTCATCAGCACTTTTTTGTATCTACAACTGGTTAATTTTTTTTTTCTCTTGTTTTTCTTTAAGCTTCAAGAGACGGTCAAAAGGAAATTGGAAGGTGCACGTTCACCTCTCAATGGAGAACAGCAGAATGGAGTTTGTGATGGGAGCTTTTCTCCAACCAGCAAGCGGATACGGAAGGATGTACCAGGCATTGAGGCAATCAACAGTTTGCCCAATAATTTGCCTTTGCCCTCTGTTTCTCCTCTTCACCAGCTTGACATGAAAGCTCCCCTGCCCCTGCAGAACAGTGGAACTCACAGTAGTGGTCTAGAAGACTTGGGTAAAAATGGTGGGCTTTCCGAGATAAAGCTCCCTGTTAATGGTTGCAATGAGCTAGACGATAGTTTTAACATCCTGCAGAACAAAGAGCTAAAGCAAGAGCCTTTGGATGATCCCAGCTGCATAGACACTTCTGAAACATCTCTTTCGAATCAGAACAAGCTCTTCTCGGACATTAACCTGAACGATCAAGAGTGGCAGGAGCTAATAGATGAACTAGCAAACACTGTTCCAGAAGATGATATACAAGATTTGTTCAACGAAGACTTTGAAGAGAAGAAGGAGCCAGAATTTCCCAGGCCTGCCACAGAGACTCAAGAGAGTGCAAGCGTGAAAAGCGATCCATCTCATTCTCCATTTGCTCACGTCCCGTTAGGGTCTCCCCAGGTGAGGCCTTCTTCTTCTGGTCCTCCATTTTCAAACGTCTCCACAGCCTCTAGCATAGCTTCTGTGTCCAGCACCCTGCCAGCCCCAATCCCTGCCGGCTCACCAGCAAACTGTGTTGTTCAGTCACCTCAAACCCCCAGCCAGTCCCACACTCCAGGCCAGACGCAGACGCGGTCTGGAAATGGCTATCTTATGAATCCAGCAGCAGCAACCGTGGCGGGATCAGGGCCTGGGCCTGTAAATATGCCAAACGCTGACATGTCTCCTGCTGAACAGCTCAAGCAAATGGCAGCCCAGCAGCAGCAGAGAGCTAAGCTCATGCAGCAGAAGCAGCAGCAGCAGCATCCAAATCAACCCTCAAGCTGGTCACCTGTGGGACCTCCATCTAGTCCGTATGGAGGACCCTTCAGTGCAGACAAACCAAATAGTCCAATGATGTATCCCCAAGCCTTTAACAACCAAAACCCAATAGTGCCTCCTATGGCAAACAATCCACAGAAGACCACAATTAATAACTACCTCCCTCAAAATCACATGAATATGATCAGTCAGCAGCCAAATAACCTGGGCACAAACTCCTTAAGCAAACAGCCCAATATGCTTTCTTATGGCAACACCAAACCTCTGACGCACTTCAATGCTGAGCTGAGTCAGAGGATGACCCCACCAATGGCAAATCCCAGCAAGAACCCCATGATGCCGTACATCCAGCAGCAGCAGTCCCAGCAGCCGCAGATACAAGCTCAGATAGCGCACCTGAGTGAGGAACAGAAGCGCATGCTCATCATGAAGCAGAAAGGAATGATGAATCAGCCCATGGCATATGCAACACTTCCTTCCCTTGGTCAGGTAAGCGTGCGTGCACGAAATGTGGGCAACCAAAAAGAGGCTGATACGAAGGCTTGGTATCTCTTTGTATGGTCTCCTCCTCCTCTTTCTCTTGGAAAGTATGGAATGTCACTGCAGATGCTTTTTGGACTTTTCACGTGGTACTGGAGCTTGATCATTTTAAGAAATGACTGACGTGGTGTTGCGTTATGCTTTAGAAATGTCGTTAAATGACTGTTTTTCTGAACTAGCACTTTTTCCCTGTGCTTCTACTGATGAGTGCTTAGGGCCACTCTGGGACATTTTGGGTCGGAAAGTGTAGTTAGCTTTGTAACAAAAAGACGGAGTGGTTGGCCCCTTCTTCTTGGGGCAGAGATCGAGCCAGCTTTAAACAGCATATTTAGCATTTTGGCTCAGGGAACAAAGGAAGGACATTTTGGATGCTGAGTGCCTTTGGTTTCCACTGGAAGAAGCACAACTGAATGCTTTTAGTGGTGCTTGAACCATGCGTGAAATGAGATGGTTTATTCTGGGCCTTTCAAGCAGTCTTTAGCAACCTCAAGTATTTTATTGTTGTGAATCTGTAGAGTCTTTCAGCAAAAGGCTAAAGTCATGTTGGCTTGAGTGACTTGGCATCACTGTCTCACATATATTCCATGCTAACCTCTTGAGCGGCAGCTGCCAGGCTTGGGGAATGCTTTGGAATGAATTAATAACCAATTTGAATAACGGTTATAGTAATGCTCTGTCGCCTCCTAGGTCAGCTGGGTATCCTCAGTTGCACAGCCCCTATAAAGATCTTCACACTGGTGTCATGGAAAAGCTCATGAATAAATTTTCTGAATGTTGTTTTAAGGGTTTTAAAAAGAATTAAAGTTAATAATCAGTTCACAAAGTAGGTGATGCCTTCACAGAAGTTATGTGCCACCTAAACATGTCAGGAATTCTGATATAATAGTACACTAACAGAATTGTTGGTTGATAGTTTTAGCGTAACAGCTTTTTACCAAATTAGCTGTTTCCATACCACCTACAAGGAGAACTTCCTTCTAAGCATGGTTTAACTGTGACTCACACTGTAAAGCATGTAGAAATACAGCAAAATTTGCCATTTCTTCAGCTTGTGGAGTTTGGGGATCTACCAATAGGAGGAGTAGGAGCTTTACCAGGTCAGAGCCCATCACATATTATTTAAAATTAATTTAAAAACAAAAAGAAATGTTCATCTACCTCCTGTTTTTGATTCCGGATGTATGGTGACAGCTCAGAGGTTTATATATTTATTTTAATTCTGTTTGCCTATTGCACTAGAAATAGTTGGTCTAAAGCCCCTTCCTTCTGGGAAGATTTATCTAGAGAAATACTGCAATAATGACATAAAACTCAGACTGAGCTACAGATTTGTCAGGTTGTAACTGAGAGGCAGAGTATGTGTGATCATGCTGTCTAATGCTTTATCATTTATTTTCTTTGTTTTTGTTAAATCTGTTGAACTCAAAGAGTTGAGAGGACAAACAGTTGAGAGGACAAACTGCCTATGTGAAAGAGTTATTTCACAGGTTAAGAAATTCATGTTAATATCCCACTGCTGTTCTCCAGTGTGAACAAGAAGCCAAGGTTTCATACATCTAATCCCACTCGGTTCCTTTTTTTTTAATATAGGAAAAACTAGATATTTGGATACAACTAGACATTCTTCTAAAACAAAGTCCAGATATTAAGTCATTTCTATGTCATATAAAGAAGAAACTTAAGGCAAAGCCATACTTTGTTATATTATATGTGCAATTCACATTTATTGACCCAGTCAAGATGAGAGACTTCTTGCTTGTGTGTAGATGTAGAAAGGTCCCTTTACTACTTGTGAAACCCACTTGCCTACACTGAAGGGATTTTGTTTGGTGAGGAAGGTTGAAATAATAGATTTCTAACTGTAATGTATTTCTTCATTCCTTCCCTTCCTGCTTCCCTGAAACGCATTTTTCTGTGGAAAATTGGAAAGCCTATTATTGTGAGATGTGCTTGGTGGAAATGGATTGTTTTTGCAAAGGTGGTAAAAATGATATATTGATATTGTTGAGTTAAATCCAGACTGATGCAGATTATCTGATTCCAATACTTGCTGTGGGATGTGGATGGTCAGGCTTGCCAGATCATATATGGAAAATAAAGAGATTGCAGTCTTCAGTTTGAAATATATTTCTGAACGTAAAGTGGATGTATCTTTCTGTCAGTTTATAGTTTCTGCTTTCATTGTAGTTTTGGTTTTTGATACAGAATTGTAAAAGTGTGTGTGTGTTAAATAATCATGAGAATTTAACAAATAACATTTAAGGGGAAAAAAAAATTTGGCTATTGCATCTCATGGTTAGCACTGACCATATATTTCTGTCAGGTGACTAGTACAAGAGCGTATTTGAAGACCAAAAGATGATTTAGGGAACATCAAACATGTACAAAAGCACATGTCTTTAATTTTGTGTATTGCTGCAAAATTCAGGTTAGTTGTGTGCATGTGTGCACACATGCACTACATACACTAATTAAACCCATGACCATTTGGGCCTAAAGTACTTCTGTTGTTAATAAGCAGAATCGTTACATGCAATCATTGCTTCAGTGGTTGGGCATACTTTAGAGACACACACCATTTTTTCAGTCCAGCAGGGACCTTGCAAATGCTCTGTGGAGGTCAGTTGCTCGTGACTCTCCTATTAACATCTCAGTGCTGGTGCTCTGGTCTTGTGTCCTGGGCTTGCTGAGCATTACTGCATACTCTTGTAAAGAGAGGTGAGCAGCGAGAGAGGAAGCCATGCAGCTCAATATCTATGTGAGTGGTTGGACAGGCAGAGTGCTAAATTAACAGTTTAGCAAGCAAAACTAGTATCCAACAAAGGTAGGATTTCTCTAAAGGCTTTCTACACTGTTGGTGTTGAAACTCTTCCTGTCAGAAGCCCTTTGCTGTGCAGATCCAGGACTGGTACTGGCACTGTAGTTGTAGCCCCCATCACACTATTGCTGAACGACCCATATGTCCTGAACCACGATGGCCTCTATTTTATAGTAGAGCTTGTTCTCTTCAAAGGAGCACTGAATGGAGTATTTGTCTGTTTTTCCACAGAGCAGATACTGGTTTGGATTTTTGAGTCAGGGATTTTTCTGGGATTAGCCTGAAGTCAATTCAGACTGCTTTTTTGTGGAATTGACTGTTAAAACCATGGTTGGATCCTGACCCTTCTATATTCAGCAAGGCTCTGTCCTGCTACTTGTGTTCCCTCGTGCCTGACTGTCCTCCACTTGGTCAGGCTTATGCCTAGAAATCTCTGCTCTTTGCCTTGTCCCACATGCTCTGATCTGTTCTAAACCCAATTGTTAGTTTGTGAGATGGTGGCCTTTAGCCTCTTGTTTTTCCTGGGTGGTTCTTTCATTCTTGCTTACCTGTGGCTATAGGCTAAAACAGCAAATACAGATTTTTACTGGGGCTGGTAACGTGTTAGAAATTTGAGGGATGGAGATCCTCTGCTATTCTGGTTCCTACGTGATAATAAAATGGATTGGTTTCACCCTAAGATGCAATAGGGGCTTTGTTAAGGCTTTTTATGTGATTTAAGAAGTAAAAGCAAGCAAGCCTAAACCAACCTCCTTTCTCAAAAATTAGAGCTTTGTTTAACCTAAAATGTTCCATTTAGTTTTTGAGATGTATGTAAGGTTTTATGGAAGGCATTTTTTTTTTCTTTTCTTTTTGTTTCCTTTAAACCAAAAAGTAATTTCAAATTGGGGAAAAGTGAAAATATTTTCTTTGGAAAATTTCAGAATCATTAATTGTGCCTTTTCTTGGTTCCAGCTGTTCAATATGTATGCGTAATGGTAAGAGAAAAAAGCAGCCCAACGGAATAGATGTTGAATGGCTGAGATAGAATTTGATGTTTGGAGCCAAGTGAGTGAGGGAGAGTAATGAGAGGTTGAAACAAAACAGAATTCTCCGTGGGTGTAAGAAAAATAAAACTAGACTGCAGCTCTTTGCCTGCATGGGACTGTGAGGATGCTGCAATTATAGTTCCTATTGAAACCACTAGTTATGTTGTTTGAAATTGGAGGAATGTGAATGAGGAGGAGAAATGACACCATACTGGAAGAATATCTTCAAATTCTCTTTTTGGTCTTTTGTTTTAATCTTATAAATTCAAGATGCGTCATCTGCTCAGTCTGGTTTTGCATGTGAAGGATAAAATGAGATCTGTGTCCAGAGAACATTTCCAAAACATAATTGTCTCTGTCCTTTCAAAGTGCAAAGGTGTGTTTCTCACTGGAATTGTAAGAAATTTTATACTTTTTTGAAGGTTATCTTTGGGATAGTGAGAAAAAGATTGTTGATATTCTGGGATTTGGCCTTTTATAAAAGCCTACCTGAAAGTAACAAAGAAAGCCTACAGATTTGTATTCACTGCATGAAAGTGTGGCAGAAACACAACTGTCTTACCAGATTTTAGGGGAGACAAGTTGGAATGGGAATAATGACTGAGACTGTGAGGATCACTTGCTGAACAGCCTATAGGGATGTAGTGAATGCCCATCTATGCTATTTGACTCATAGCCACTGTTTTCCACAAAATGTTTGCTCTTTTTGGAGTTCAGATGCAGTTGTCTGCCTTTTACAAATGCTGAAATTTGCTCCCCAGAAATCAGTCTCCCATAGACTCTTAAGAACAGACCTCTTAAGGGTAGTTGAAATGTGCTCGGATGGATTTTGACCGTCTCACCAGGCAATCTGTAAACAGTAGCCTGTGCTTCTTACCATTCCTGCTATCATCTGCCCATTGTGTTGGGAAGGAAGTCATGTTAGCATAACTTACTAGAAACAAATGTTGGATAGCACTTGACTAAGATCAGATCTCCATGGAATAATCCCAAACCCCAATTTTTGGCCTGTTATTATTTCCTCATTTTGTGACCTGTGAGTGTGTCCTTTTTAACCTAATATGTATTCTGTTCACTCCATATGGTAGATGTTTTTCTGCAAT